TAGTTAAAATTTTAGTTTTAATTTAATAGTTCGTATCGATTTTTATTATCAGTCTTAGCAAAGTAAATTATTGAGATAATTTTTTAGCTCAATTAATTAAGCAAATATGTGAGTTGTTATGAATTTCCTTATTTGTACAAAGCGCATTATTAAAAATTTTATTAAACAGAGACGAGAATAAAAGTATGATCACAGTTAAAAAACAATTAAGTAAAAAAAATACACTACCTATAGATAGAACGTATGATATTATATTTATTCTAATTTTAGAAAATCGTATTTTATAAGGTTTGTTTAGGTTTAAAATATATCTTATAAAATGATATTAATGATATTTTTTATTTATTAAATTTATTGTGTTATTAATTAAAAAAATTATTTATTAAATTTATCGTATTAAATTATTAATATTTAATCTTATGTTTAAGATATATATATATATATATATATATATATATATATATATATATATATATATATATATATATTTTAATGTGAAGAATGTGTTAAGATTTACATTAACTAAATATAACATGAATTTACACTATATAAATATGTGAAAATTTTACTTTATAATTTGGTTTTGTAAAATTAAATTAAATTTTAATTTTCTTTCATTGTAATTTAAAATTTTTTTTCCATCTAAATGAATTATCATTTTTCTCAATTATTTTTCTATTTTTGGCTTAAAAAAATATGAAGATTTATCTGGGCTCTAAATAATTTAACTAGAATTTGTCCTTTTTAATAATAAAAGAAGTAGGAATGCAGTGATCCTAGACACGTTTGGTAGAAGTTAGGAAGCAGGAGTGAGAAAGAATCCGAGCATCTAAAGTAAAATGTGTTTGGTTGGCTAGATAAAGGAAAAGGCCACTAGTGTTTTACTTAAATCAAAGATGATGATAGATTAAAATAGGTAAGCTAAGTGTGAATGAAGGCATAGCCTACTCGATTAGCTTTACACGGTCTTTTAAAGAGGATGAAAAGTCAATCTTTATCGTAATTATTTAACAAGTAATATGTAATCAAGTGTTTAATTATTCTAATGAAAAAAGTTAAACCATAATGATGGAAGTTACTTGGTTTGATTCATGGCAATCATGGATGTCTAGTTTGTATCCATCAAGAATGGCCCATGAGCATGCTAAGTTATGATGGCTCCCCACTTTTGTAGGGTGTTTCTATGTGGTGGCCCTGACGAAAGCTCTGGTTCTCTCTGCCAATAAGCCTTTCATTATTTTATCATCTCAAGATGCATCATGCTTACCCTTAAGTTTATGGCTTTCAATTAAAGAGCCCTAAAAGAAAGGGGCCTCTTGCTCATTCTTTATACTAATCCCACAATCTTCTATTATGGCTACCATGTGTTATCTCTCGTTCGAATCTTGCTGACTTGTTTTCTGCAATCAAAATCTATAAGCCAAATAACCCTTTCGATATCAGGTAGGTCCTTCAGTTTCTGCATCATCAATAAATTCAGCTAAAGTTGTGTACAATTATATGAAGAGTAACGACACTTTCCATCTGTAATATACTATTATTCCATCGTCTCGATGTTCCTGCTCCCCAGAAACCTTTCAGTATAACGAGATAGTAGTCATTGGACTGTAGTAACTTGTGCCCAAAAATATCTCTACATAATCACTTTCCTTGCTCTTCATTCAAATAACATACAATGCATCAATATGATCCGTCACAAGGAAGCATATGATACCGCTTTCTTTCTCTCCACTTTTCCCATGTCCTATTTCCTATAATTTCGTTATGTGCATTCTAACCAAATTTTTAAGAGTAAAGTGAGTTACGGAATTCCAAATTCAGAATAAGTCAAGGGGTGACCGTTTTAGGTAAAAAAGTGCCAAATTATTTTTACCTTAACAATGACTCTGGGCAATTCATAAAATAACTTTAAACAAGCTATATTCAAGTTATGAAAATTATTTGAAAGATATTAGAATTAATTCTTTATCTTCTTCATTCAGGATATAATAGTTTAATAACAAATAATTTAAATTTTGAATTATTTAGATAATACATTTAGAATATTGAGAGTTATCAAAAGATTATTTCATTTTGTTTTATGATTTTCTACATTGACTTATTTTTTCATGAAAAAAAGGAAAGGAAGAAAGGAAGAAGCTTTTAAACACTAAAAAAATGTATTATTATAGATTGAACTTTATAGTCAAAAAATAAATTTAATAAATTTTATTGATATTTTCATCTAAAATAGATTTATCCATAATATTCATTGATAAATTATAAAAAAATATTATTGACAAAATTATCCATCAAAAAATGCCAATAACAATAAAGGCAATATTAACTATAATAAAGATTACGTCAACATTAACAGAGATGGAGACGACGACAAAGATAAAGAAGAAAAGGAAGAGGAAAAGTATGAGAAGGAAGAGGAGGAGAAAGAAGAGGATAAACTATAACCAGCCATCCATTGAAAAGAAGAAAAATAAGAAAAAGGAAGAGGAAAAAAAGGAAAAAAAAGAAAAAAAAAATCAAATTGTGATATTTATAGAAGAATGCACAACAAAAATTTTATTAATAATTTTTAATGTAAATTTATTGATAAATATTGACAATTAGTAATTATTAATTATTGATGGATTTTTCTATCTGTTATTAATAAATAGTTTATCAACAAAATTTTGACTATCAATAAACTTTATTAATTATAATTTATCGAAAAAATTGGATGATTACCGACATATTATTTTTTCATGTAGTGAATAAACATTATATTATAAGAGATCATATTGAAAGAAAATGAAACATTATTTATTTAATAAACCAACATACTTGAAGCAATTCAAAATAGTTTTTGAATCCTTTAAAAAATATAAGGGTAAAACATAGAGTGTGGTGAAAATATATATTATATAAAATCTTACTATATAATTTTATTCTCTTTTGAATTAAAAGGAAATTACATATAAGAGAGTAATTTAATTATCAAACAATTAGAGTTAGAGTTCTTTAGATTCCATGTTAAAGGTGTTATCCAAATATAATAACTTTTTTTCTTCTATATTGTATGATATATCTCCAAAATGGTTGTGCTCTTTTGAAAGAAAAAAGAAAGAAAGTTTTTATAGGTAATTTTATATTATTATTCAACAAAGAAAATATCAATTGTTTATTGAAAAACATTCTTGAAACACTTCAAAATGGATCCAGATAAATTTTTGAATTCTTCTAAAAGAAAAATAGACATAAGATATGGATCATATGGACAAATATGTTATCTAAGATATCACAATATAATTTTCTTGTATGCTGAGATAAAAATTATATATATGAAAATTTTAATTATCTAAAACAAATTCCATAAGCTGTTGTATTTTATTTAAAAGTGATAGAAAATTTACTCTCTTTTTTATATTCCATTCAGAATGATATTAGATTTTTAAATAGGAACATTACAAGACTGTAGGCATTCTAAGAAACCAATAAATCTGCCTATTGAAAAATTGAGAAAATAAATATAGGTAGTACAAAAGATTGTAATATGCATTATAGTGTACTGTATCAGTCACTTCCTAATCAATAGGCTACTAGTAACTGGTTTAACTTATTATATTTAATAAATTTCTATTCTATCAATCCCTTAAGTTGATATATACTTATATTGACATCAAGCAACTCTCTCATCAACTTCAAGAACGATTGTTTATTAAAAAAATTGGTGAATATGCCAAGAACGATATCTTCATTCTTGTAATAAACTAGATCAATATTTTCTTTTTTTTTCAAAGATTTCTTAAAAAAATAAAATTTCACATTAACGTGTTTGCTTCTTCTGCTGGAATGATTTTTTTTTTTTACAACTTGATTGTTAAGTTATCGTCACAAAAATTGTAGTAGCCTTTATTTATTTTTTAATTATAACAAAACTCAATTTGAATATTTGACAAAGTAACAATGAATATCCTTTTAGAAAACCATGAAATAGTATTTGTTCAAAGGATAAAAACAAAACCATGTGTTATATCATTTAGATCCTTACATAATCATTATTTGTAAATTCAATTAAATTAAATATATAGGAGATCTTTGTACAATATCCCAAAGTTATGAATTCAATGGATAAACGAAGAGTTCTTTTCATAATCAACAAATGTAACTTAATAGGATTTTTTATGTACCCACTAATCAAATTAACAAAATACATAATCTAGTGATAGTAAAGTATATTAATTTACCGTTTTTTTGTCATTTTTTTTTTGTTTTCAATGATCATCTTAATAACTAAAATGAAAGATGAGAGTGATATTGAAGTTTATACTGAAGTTTAGAGTTATATGGGTAGATTTTCTATCTTATTAAATTTTGTAGAAAGATTAGCAATCCTCTTCGTTAATTCTCTCTACCACAAATTTTTTTATCCATGTAGATCTCTATTAGAAATTTAGTATGAAATGAAACTCTCACGTTAAATAGAAATAAGAAAATTGAATGACATAAAACATTGAACCTTGACGTTTTAAGTTGAAGGTGGTGTGTGGGCATAGGTTACTTATACACAGTGGTGGTCAATCTTTTTAGTCTATCATCTCATGTGAAGAAACCTGTATCAGATTCAATGTTTGTCTTGATGTCTCCTGAGACAAATATGTCCCATGACATTAATGGTAAAACCCAACTCATACTTGAATGGAAGAAAGATTCAAATTCAAATGAGTTAAAAGTCTAGTATTGAAATATAAATAAGAAAGTCTCTTGTATGAATTACTGGTATATCAATGGTCAATATGCTCAATCAATGCCAGTAAAAAATTCCAACAAAAAGGATGGTATCAATCTTAATGTGACAGGGTCGCGGTGGCATGTTCTGTTTAATGGGGTTATTGAGTATACTATACTGCATGTTTAAAAGACACTCCCTTTTACTTTTTTGGTGAGGCTAGTGGGGTTTGAAAAATCATTATATTGTTATCATGGTGATTTAGCATGTATAAATATGCATGCATGCTTGCCTACATTTATTCATATTTCAAAACCGCGTAGCTGGATACTCTCATCTTCTTCAACTCATTTCCTAGATATATATAGTTTTGGTTGTGAAAATTGATCATATTAGAATGGCTTCCGATTTTAATCTATCCCCTTCAGATGCACATCCCGAGACTATGGATTTCCTTTCTCTTGCATGGTGTAACTTCGCTGTGCAAGCTCTGCAGCCTGAGCCTCAACATGGATCTGTTGTTCTGCTTGATAATAACTCCATGAAGCAATTAGAGCCTGGTAGCCCAAATGTTAATCCTTCGGTTAGTCAAACTATTTCAACTATAACAGTACAATAATTCTAAATTCTCTTACACCGTCTTTCTATTAATTCTTGAACTTTTTAATGTTTTTTCATCTTCATCTAATACCTGCAAAGTACAGGAGAATTAATACGAGGATATAACCTTATTTGTTGTAATGTTATTAATCTACTGCTGATTTTTATTTTTGAAATTTTGCATAAGATGGAAAAGAGTGCTAGAGTGGACGGTGCTGATTTCAGGTCTTTGCCAGGATGGAAATCTAATAATGTAAAGGTAAGAAATTACAAGACAAGAAAGTGATTCTTTATTGAGAATCGATCGTTCACGACTAGTTTTTCTAATATTTGTTTCCGTCTTGTGTTTTTTCAGTCATGGATATGGATGCAGCAAGCGATGCATCCTGAATTGAATTACAACAGCTGTTTCCGAAAGAAATGGGTATGTAATCCTATCATCTGTCTCAATCTCATAGTTAGAGCTACATGTCTCTGTGTGTACATGTGTGTGTGTGTGTGTGTTAATAGTTAAGTTTTCATTATTTAGTTTGTTGTGGTTACCACTTACCATGCAGGTGCCATGGAAGCAGATCATACCACTGAAAAGTGTTTCAATAAAGAAATGGTTCAAGGACATAAAGATGAAGAAAAAAGAAGACCAGAGATTGCAAAGAGCAGAGGTGCATGCAGCGATATCAATTGCAGGGGTTGCAGCAGCTTTAGCTGCCATTGCTGCTGAAAATTCGAAAAAGGAATCAAATCAAGACAGAGATGCAGCAGTGGCCTCTGCGGCTGCGTTGGTAGCTGCACAGTGTGCAAAAGTAGCTGAAGCAATGGGGGCAAAGAAAGAACAGCTTAGCAGTATAATTGGCTCAGCCATGAGTGGCACAAGTGCAAGTGATATCCTAACTCTCACTGCCGCAGCTGCAACATGTAATCTCCTTATTCTTAGTTTTATTTCATTAATTTCTTTTAAATGCTTTTATGTTATTTAGAGAGGGGAGAGGGTGAAGATGAAAGATATGGCTACAGATTTTGGAACTAAAACTCTTGTGTTGGTGGTGGCAAAAGTGTGGAAATTCCTGGCCCAATTTAAATTAAATGGTTCTTGACGTGTCCCTCCCCCATAAGAAAAGGCACTTTTTACCTTTATAGGTTCATTTCCTCATATTCTTAAAATATTTATATGAATAAATTTGTAAAATAAAGTTCCACTTCACCTAACAAAAGAAACATGCAATTGAGGGAACGGAAGGAAACATATCTTTCTCATAATTCTGATTTCGGTTTTGGAGTTCATGCACCATACTTTATGTACCATTGTTTGGTGACCAAAAACCTGTTGGCGAATTGCAGCATTAAAAGGAGCAGCCACACTTAAAGTAAGATCAGGTTGCAAGAACAGACTGAGTGGTGGAGTTCCTGTCTTGCCCCTTGAAGACAGCAATGATCTTGATTTTGACTTTGAGAAAGGCAGATCAATTCTTGCACAGGGAGCTGAGTTATATGTAGAAACACCAGAAGGTGAAGTTATGACACAAAAAAACAACTGCTCTACAGTAGCATCCACTTATTACTATTAGCCTAAAGAAGAACTATGAACTATTAAGCATCATGTGATTTTCTAATTTATTCTTACTTCAATTATGTCTTTGAACAGGGAAGTACATGCCGAGATCAGTATCTGTAATCCTAAGCAGCGAAGCCAAGGTTAGGACCATAGATGATTTTTATGTTTATCTATCCACTCTTATTTGGCTCCATAAGATTTTCAACTTAAAACACGTCCAGAAAAATAAAAAAAGATACTTTACATGGAGTGACCCAGCTCAGCTGATAATAATGATAATAGTATAATACACTTGCTAACCAAGCAAAGAATTAAAGACACCGAAAAATCTAATAACTTGTTCAAGTAAACTTAAGGTGCCTTTAATTATTGAAACTTACGGAGTGCGAGTCTTGCAGCTGAATTTTATGACAAGAAATTGAGTTGATGATTAACTTAGACATTATGATTAGTTCAAATATTCAAATATTTCGAATGTCTCTCTAACTCACGGGGCAATGATCTCACTCTAAAACTACAGGTTGTACTTATGATGAGGAAGCATAATCTATTCAAAAGCAAGAAGGAGGGTATGCGCATATTTCTGGTTTTCCAATCAAATTCATTTCTTTTACTTTATTTAAACTTAGATCAGAAGGCACAATGACTTGAAAAACTTGCCACAGGAATTGTAATGACTCTGCACGCAGAACTGTACAAAGGTTCAGACGCAGAGGATGCTGATACATGTTATCTGATTGTCTTGACAACAAGAGGAGGCGTTTTCAAGCTAGACATGGCGGATGATTACCGTCGTTACAAGACATGGTCCACAACCATCAATCATATGCTGAAGATTTCAGCTTCTTTTGCAAAATATGAGCTTCAGTTTTACTGAAATAACTGCTGTCACCACTTACCTTATGTACTCGTTTTGCTTCCTGTACCCTACATACATTTGTAACTATTACAACATATCGTCCCTACTGTTAAATTCCAATTATCTGTGATATCTGTCTAAAATAATTTGTATATAACAAGGGTAGGGTACTGTCATTATACTATATACTTGAATTTGAAAGAGCATGCTTAATGAACAATATATTATGAATACAAAATGTGTGTTAAAAGTGAACTTTAAATCGACTTGCAAAAAATATATGTCTAAAATCTCATTTGATTATGGCTTTAAGACACGCTTTGAGTGATATGTGTGAAGAAATAATGTTGTGGGGTGGCACCTTTTCCTGAGACGGGGCCAACCGGCTAACTGGTATCTTCTTTTTGGGCTTCAGTATTTTTCTTTAACCTCAATCCACGTTGTTCTCTGAAGCTGTATTTGGGACATGAATCGAACAAGATAAGCTTCCTCCTTTTTCACTTTTTTTTTTCTTAGACAAAAAGGTTGGCCACACCAACTACATGGTCCCCTTGTTACGAGAAAATTAGAGACACGGAGAGCGCAACTTTTGTTGGGTAACTCTTGTACTCTAACAAAATTCACCTATTCCCATTTTGTTTTATTAGCTTACATGAATTACATACATACAAATAGCTTTAACGAATACATCTTATGCTCTTTAAACGAACAGTCTTTAAGGATGACAATTTTTAACGAAATTTCCCTGTTCCAATTTTGTTTTATTAGCTTACATGACTTGCATAAATCCATCAGCTTTTACCACTGCATGTTATGAAGGTTTTTCATGAGATGTTAGATGATAAAATCTCAATGCTATTATTAAAATATAATAATGAATTATTCTCACCTTATCTCAGTTGCAATTACTGTTCTGCTGACCATCACCATTGAATTAATGATTTATATTAAATTTTAAAAGAATGCATTGAAATTGTACTTACAGGTACCTTGTATAAAGCCTTCCGAAGAAGAGGTACCTTGTAAAAAGCCGCCTTCCAGTTCATGAACTCCTTTCGTCTGATTTTCATCTATTATTCGACTTTTATCTTCCTATACTCGTCTTCTATATAATGAATAGTAAAAGATTCTCCAATACTCAAATAAACAGATGTTCAGAATTAAAGAATAATTAAAATGTGATTAATGTTAAAAGTAAAGTCAAATCTTGATTAATATTGTATTTATAGAAATATTTTAATAATAGTGGGTCCTTACCTGAATGGATTAGGATAGGGTCAATTGGCCCATTAGTCCACTGGTCCAGTAACCATTTTATCTTTGATAGTGTATAACTAGTTTTGACTAGGTTACATGGTTCGTCAATGTCTTCGATAGACGTAGTTAGATGCCGATAGGCAGCACCAAGTTCTAGCGGACAACACTTACCCATGACTCGAGGGGCACATTTATTAGTAGATGACGATTGACATTTGGTTGGGGCATGCAGTACTCGACGCTTGTCATATGACATATTGTGTTTATTCTTTTGGTGGACATATGTTACCTTTGACGAACAATCATCCGTCTTTGATAAACGTTTATAATCTTTACGATGTGTTTAATATTCGTGGCATGCAATCTCTACTAGGTACAGGGTATATGATATTCAGGATATAGGATGTGTTGAACAATCAATTATCTTAAAGATCATTGTTGACAGGATCAGAGGATTTTCGACCACATTGAGTACAAATATTTATCTTTTTCAATAAAAATAATTTTGTGTTGAATATTAATTAAATTTACCTTAAATTTTAGAAAATATAAATAAATAATAATTTTTAAGTGAATAAATAAAAAATTTGTTGAAAATTGTCTATTGTTATAGTACCATGTAACCATTTATTACCCTTTTTTTTTTCTGAACTTCTATTTAAAAACCATGCTTTCTTAAGAGATAAATTACTAATAATGTATATATAGCTCTTAAAAAATAATTTAGTCTTATAATATTTCTTTAGAAGTTTTAGATTCCTTAAAATTCATGTAATAGTTTAAAATAATATTTATTCCAACATGCAGTGTATTTTTTTTTTCATAAAATCGTATTTATACAAATACACACACATATATTATAGGTAATGTTTTAACAGAATAAAAGGTTTGTAGTAAGAGACTTTTGACAAATGGGAAATTTTAGTTTTCCAGAAATTTTAGATTTGAAACAATTTTTCATGTATGTTTACATTTTAAAAAACTAACATATTCAGGAAACAATGTTTTTACAGAATAGTTTTTTATTGATTTTCTGGAAAAGAAATATGAATATATTACTTTTTCAAGTTGAAATGGTTTTTTAATAAATCGTACAATAATACATTACCGTCTCCTTTTAAAAAAACTTATATAAATATCTTTAGGAATATTTTTTACTAACTAAATAGGATTGAGTTATATCTAGGAATGATTGTTTTATATTCATAATTTTCTGTTCGGGATGAGCAAACTATTTTTAAAGATTCAATCTAAATCTAAATAACTATTTCATATTTTGCATCTAAATCTATTTTCTAGAATTAGTTTGGATTTTTCTAAACTTCAAATCTAAATATTTCGATCAAGTTTCAAATTCATATCTAATTATTTGAATAAGTTTTAAATCAAAAATTTATTTTTTATAAAAACAATTTAAATTGAATTTTGTAAAATTTGTCATTAATTCGACTCAAACGATCTTAATTATCGTCTCGATCCAACCACTCTCGATTCTTAGTTTCAACCAATTCATCTCGATCTTTGGTTTAGACCAAATTATCCTACCCTTCTACCTAAGTCAATTTATTTCGATTTCATATCGATGTTAGTTAGTCTCAACCTTCGACCCATGCTATCACATCTCAAATTTCAACCAATGTTAGCTCATCCCAATGATTTTCCCGGGTCGACCTATCTTGCAATTGGATTTGGGTTGGTCTGTCTTGATCTTCGACTTATACCAGTCGATCTCAATTTTATCTTGGGTAGGGTGGTCTCGATGTTCAGCCTATACTGGATTATCTCAAATTTTGACTTAACATGATTTGTCTCATCTTTCCTCCCGGTCAACACATCTCAACCTTTTGGCTCAGATTGACCCAACTCGACTTGTCTCGCCTTTCAACCCATGTCGAACCATCTCGACTTTTAGTTTGAATAAGCTTGTCTCAACCTTCAGCAAAACTAGCCAAGGTTTACCTTAAGTCCGAATCAACCCATAACAAAGGATTGAGTCAATGTTTCTCAACCTTTGGCTTAGATTGGCCTGTTACGAACTTTGGCTCAAGTCAATCCATCTCAATTTTCAGCCTATACAGACCTTTCTGGATCCAACTGAAAATTTTGATCGAAAACTAAAATTTCCATATTTGAAAGTGGATATTAAAAGAATGGATATCCAATAAAAAAACAAAACGAAAAAAATTATAAATTAGATTAAAAATTTAGATTTAATAGTATGAATTTTAAATGGATTGGATTTTTAATAAATGGATTTTGAATGAAGTGGATTTTTAGTCCAAAAAATTTGGATTTTTTGTCCACCCCATTTTCTGCCATGATTTTTTTTCTCTACGGAAGGATTTTGTGTGGACGTAAGTATTTTTTTTACGGAAGGTCTTGTTTCAAGTCCACAAATCAGATTTCTGGGACTATTGCTCCTTGCACCCATAATTACTAACTGCAATCCACATTTACATGAAAAGATTTAAACAAATCCCACCATTGCATTACATTATCACTACAGCTACTCTTATTGCTACCATCATCACTGTTGCAGAGAAAAAAAGGAGGTAAACACTGTAGAGCATGAAGAAGAGGGAAAGAACACCCAAGAAGAAAATTTCAAAAACATATTTTAGGATATTCTGAAAAACTCTTTCCAAAAAGTATTATTATTATATGATTTTTGGAAATTTGGTTCCAAAAAATTTATTCCAAAAATCTCATTCTAAAAAGTAATTTCGAAAATTTTGAAAAGTTTGTTTGAAAAAGTTTCCTAAACATGCAATCGAAAAGTCACTTTTATGGAGATAAAATGGTCATTTTGGAAATTTGAGGGAAGCAGAAAGAAGTTCTGGAGGTGCAGGAAGTAAAAGCTAGTTTCTTGCGTGTTGGTCCAGAACTGAAAAAATTGGCAAACCCAATTTGAGTCGGGTCATATCAAGAAAAAATGCGGTTAGCACCCGAGTCCACGATATTCATCCTGGAAAAAGAACACAAGTGACTGTAATTCTTACTCTTTTCTAACGACAGAGGGAAACAGATATCCCATTCTCAAATAATGAGACAAAGGCACAATAGCAACAAAGATGCAGACAAACAGAAATCTGAAGCTCTAACTTCATCAAAATCAGATTCGGAGCACTCGCCATTCTGCTATTTACACAAACGAATCTTCCTTCTCTGTTTGGCGTTCCGAATGGTGAATTCCGTTTTGGTGCAGACTTATTTCAACCCCGACGAACACTGGCAGGGCCCCGAGGTCGCGCACCGCGTCGCCTTTGGGTACGGTTCCATTAATTTCCATTTCATTTTTCCGTTAAACCTCCGTTTGTTTCTTCCCGGTGGCACGTAAACGCTGATCTGGCAGGTATGGTCACCTAACGTGGGAATGGAAACAGGGTATCCGAAGCTACTTGCATCCCTTGTTCTTCGTTCCGCTCTATAGGCTCCTCGCTTTATTGCATCTTGATACCCCTTGGATTATGGTAAACACTTTAAATCTAAATGTAGCAGCTTAACCAAACAATTCATGTATTCTTATTCTTATGTATTTCATAGGTATAGTTCCATTAGTTATAATTTTACCACCACTAATATGGAACTATTTCAATTTAAACATCAGTATTGAGTTTTGAGGTTTGTACTGCAGTTGCAATACATTTTCAAAAAGAAAATTTTATTGCCAATAATAGTCTTCCTCCACTTCAATGAAATCGTATCCTGTAATTAACTCTAATTTGAATTAATAGTAATGTCCTACAAATATTTGTATTTTTTACTGTCTTGTGATTGTTCTAGTATAAGACAAAGATTGTTAGTTTTTATAATAATTATTTTTAGATTCATGTCTGAGTGATTTTTAATTGATTTAACAGGTTAAAATTTTTACATTAACTGAAAATTAACCTATAGAATTTTTGTACTATGTTTGTTAGATGAGGGCTCCACGACTTCTTCAATCTGTGTTCTCTGCAGTTGGTGATTTATACTTGTACAAGCTTTCGGAGGTTCTTTTTGGTGATTCTGTTGCAAAATGGACAGTATCCTACGATTTTGCCTACTCTTTTTTTTCTTAAATTGGGTGTGTTTAATGTTAGAAATTCTTGCTGCTTTGCATTTTGTGTGCTGTTCTTAATTTTGTGTAATGTTATGAAAACTTAACTCTGTCTCAGCTCTTTTCGCAGTTGTCCAATTGGTTTATGTTTTATTGTTTTTCTCGAACGCTATCGAATAGCTTGGAGACTGTTCTTACACTTGTGTCTCTTTACTTTTGGCCCTGCATGAGATCTTCCAGCAACTATTCCTTTGTTTCAAGGAAGTGGGGTTTAGTTATGGCAGCAGTGGCTTGTGCTATCCGACCAACAAGTGCAATTACATGGTTGTATGTCGGTCTGCTTGAGCTTTTAAAGGCACGTGATAGATTCAAATTCATTTTTTTGGAGGTGGCTCCTATTGGGTATGTTTTGGGACTGTCTAAATACTCTGATTTTACCAGTTTATATTCTTACAAAGCTTCTTGACATCTGGGGATGAAGATGTAAGGATACATGAATTTTGTGGTATTTTCCTTGTGTTTCCCAATAACCAGGATTTATTCAGGCAGTAAGAATTTTTATTGTATTGTATAAAAATTCCATAGAATTTATATATTTTATTGTACTTACTAAAATCATTAATTTGGTATGTCAGTGCTATTTGAAAATTTAATTACATTTCACATCAGAAAATAACATTAGTAACTCAAAAGTTAAGGTAAATTAATTTATCCAAATCTTTATAAAGTATCATAATCACTGCTTCTAATTAAAAGGAACTAGAAATTATTTTATATTGAATAATGTTTTTGTTGTCAACAAATTCAACTCATCACTCTCCTTAGCTCCCTTCCATGTGCCCAGGAGATTCACCTCATAAATTCTGTGACTTTTCCTTCTACATCAACATCGGACAACTCCTTTCTTGAAGGTTCACACATTTTACGATTTATTGTTATGAAAATACAATCTTGTCAAGGAATTGTGCTTTAAGAGTCGCGTGCATTATCACATGTGAATTTTCTTTCTGCTTCCCTTGTCCCTGAAGACCTTATTTTATTAACACTTGGGTGCACTCTATCAGGATCCTGGTGCTTGGACTTACCTGCTTATTAGACCGTTTCATGTACGGCACATGGGTTCTAGTACCACTTAATTTTCTAAAATTCAATTTTCTCTCCTCGGGTGGAGACTATTATGGAACTCACAAGTGGCACTGGTACTTCACTCAGGGATTTACAGTTATGATCCTCTCTTACTTACCATTTTGTGTAGCTGGTATAATTTATTCCAAACAATGGAAGTTTTCTGGACTTCTTGCATGGGTTTTAGGTTTCTACAGTTTATTAGGTCACAAAGAATTCAGGTATTTCAATCTTAAAATTTACATAAGCATGTTCATGTACCCCGGTCTATTGGGTTTAGCTTGATCTGTGATAATGATCACTGTGAGGCACAGGTTTGTTTTGCCAGTTCTTCCCATAGCTCTGATGTTCTCTGGTTACTCTTTAGCTGCAATAGAAGATCCTGGTTCCGCAAGGTATAAAGGAAAAGAATCTTCAAAAACGCATACCAGATGCCCGGCCAAGATGAAAATTTCTATCTTATTTTTGCTTGCTACCAATATTCCAATGGCTTTGTATATGAGTTTGGTTCATCAGGTCTCTCTCCTCTTCCCTCCCTATCTTTACTTGGACTTGATGCTGCTAATAGATATTAAAGACATGTTTGGACAAATTTCTCCAAAATAAATTATAGAAAAAAAAATGAAACAAGTTTCTCCCCAAGTTAAAATTAGTTTCTGAAGCGTAAGTTAATTTGTCAATTTTTGTCATATAGTTTCTCTAAATTTTTTGTGCATAAGTTAATTTTAATTTTAATTCTTATGAAGAAGTTTGTCCAAACATGCTCTAATCTATTTAGAATCTTCTTTCAATTTGATGTGCTTGTTTATTGTATCTAGAGTTTAGCAAAGCAATCTTATGTAAGAACCTACAATATTCAATATATTCTTTCTTTTCTGACAGAGAGGACCTGAGGATGTCATGAACCATCTTGCTAGAGAAGCTCTTCAAGGGAAAGTGAGAAGCATCCTATTCCTAACGCCTTGCCATGCGACACCATACTATTCCATGCTCCATCATAACCTGCCAATGCAATTTCTGGACTGCACACCAAGGTTTGGAAGTTCGAATTGTCATCGCTTCTAATCTTGATTAGAATTTAAATAAGTTCGTAATTCATGTTAATGCATATTATTTAGCAGTGAAGAGAAAGGAGTCCCCGATGAGTCGGACCGTTTCATGATGGACCCTGTTTCTTTTGTGTCTGAATATGCTAAAAACGTGTCTATGGCCAGCCACATAGTTTTATTTGACTCAGAAGAACAAAAGTTGAAGAACCTTTTAATTTCATTTGATTATAGGGAGGTAATTGATTAGACTGTCCTAAGTTTATTTCTCAGTTTTTTTATTCATCTTAATGTTGGTATTTGTCCTTATCTTTTTAATTAACATTGGGATTTCAACAACAGGGAAGAAGATTTTTTAACGCTCACTTCAAGGTAGATCGTGATCTTCAAGCTTCAGTTGTTGTATACGTTCGAAGAAGATAGAATATTGATCTGATCTCCAGCAAATTTGGCTTTGTGACAGTTCAATTTATCATTTCACGTGCTGCAATCCAAATTTTGACTCCAGTAATTTGGTCCCTCGAATGATGAATTCATGTTGTCCATTAATTTACTGCTTACCAGGAAATTTCAAGTAGAAATCTTGTAAATACTCTTTCAATATATTTTTAGAAATCATCTTCATTGATGAATTACAACTTGCGGGATTTTTCGAGGCAGATAAAGACACTAGGAGTAAATGAATTTGATCTTTCTAGTTGACTATGATATGTTCTTATAATGTTCCCAAATGTTCTAAGGCTTTAAGCCTTACAATGTGTGCTTAATATAATCATCAAGGGAAGCTATTCCATGCCATCTTATCTTAAAGACGACCCTCGTCAATCAGATTTGCTAAAATGGCAAAACACGTTACATTGACATGTTTTGAAAATTACTTGACAAGAATAGACAGTAAACCATATACATACGAGATATATACGACAACACTGTTAAATTAGGTCCTTCAAAGCCCTGACCATAGTAGAAGTCTTCGGGGTCGATCCAGAAACCGGGCCTGCCACGCGGGTTCATCACTTTCATAGACAAACCCACTTTTCGTATACAATTTCTTTGCTGGTTCATTGTCGACAGCAACATGGACGTACAAATCTGTTATGCCTGACAGAACGATAAATATAAGTAAATGTAGTCACTTTGACTAGGAAAGTCCAATCTGAACTGTCATGTAGAAATCAGGATGTCCTCGTTCATAAACTAAAATGGTTAAGGAAAAAAAAAATAATAGAATACTATATGAACGCAATTAGTGCTTTACAACATGGGAAGTCTTCATGGTCCACAAGAATATTCCCTAAGCACAGAGCAAGGATAATAGAGATCACAATCGTTTCCCTTGATGTCTGACTCTTGGCATTGGAAAATAATTAAACAAAAATCTCATCAACAGTAATAGATAACTAGCGGGGAAATTATGATCGTTGTGCTTGGCAATGCTGCCCTAGATAATATTTTGAATTGAGCCATGCATAACGAAAACTGCAATTGCAACCACTTGTGGATGAGTTCTCCAACTAAACGGAAGAAAATTTTGAAAAATAGCCCGATTCTTACACAGCTGAATGATCAGAATCCATGGAGTAGTAGTTCAGTAAAAAAGGCCATCTAAAATTATATCCTTAATGATCTCAATATATTAATCCACTGAATAAAGCATCAACGTAATGACATGCAATAAGTGATAATATTTGATAATCTTTTTTGTTAGAAAAAGCATTGCTTTCTTTTCTTCCTCACGAGTATATGTTGAAATCACTATGTATAAAAAACTGAGATGCAGAGTAAAGTACAATTAAGAGAAGTTTTATACTTTGTTGAACTTTAGCAGACAAAAGCTCTTAGAGAGATTAACAAAGGACATGAGAAGTTCAATCATCAACAATAATCGTTTTGTAGTGCTACGGGAATATTAGTCCAATGTAAACACGTAACAGAGTAGTACAATCAATAATCATTTCCAAGACTTCCGAATGAACTCCTAATTATTAACAAACATTCAAGATTTTGCTTGATAGGAGTGAAAATTGGAGAGGGTGTAAATAAATTCTAAATTAAAAAAAAAAATTCCTTATCAAAACAAAGATTAGGATTTAGAAATAAGTGTTGCGTGTGCACATAAGATAACTGTTTGTAAAATACACTATATTATTGTTTAGATTTATGAAACTTACTTGAGCCTCGTTCGTGATTCAGTATTTCGAATATTTTAAACAATAAAAGAGGATGTATTAGAAGAACTGTAGTTGGGCATACACTGTTAGCATTCTTCGTGTGTGCACATCAATTGACCTCTTTTAAAGACAGCAGAAACGATAGCAACATCAACGTAGTAGCTAAGCGTTTTTTGGATTCTTAACCCAATCATAGGCTACTAACTTTGACACTTCAAGAAGTGCATAACCCAACCCATTTCTGTGCAACTCTTCAGCAACACATACATTACTGAGGTATGCCCTGGTGACATCAGCTCCAGTGACCTATAACAGTGAAACATTTAAACAGTTACACGGTGGCACTGTACAAAATCAGAAAGCAGAGAGACGATTTGCCAGTTTTCATGTCAAAACTCAAAATCTCTACTAGACAAAAACAAGCATACAAGTTTGGACATCAGGATATAGGAAAATACCTCAGGCTTCAACCCCATAATTTCATCAGGAAGGCTCAAGCACTGATTAAGATCAAGAGTGGCAACTACAATCCGCTCCTCTCCGTTAGCAGAAAACTACAGTTAGATATGTTAAGAAACAAGAAACAGAACATATATACACAGAGATAATCCCTCCTGTGACAGTTTATTTGGTAGAATTAAGATTTGAACTAAATTTTACAACAAATCTAAGCATAGTAAAAAGATAGGTATGATATCTCTTCATTTAATTGTAGCAATATCAATAATGGGTCATACAAGTATTGCAGTTTAAAGGCACCGGTTACAAATCAAAAATTGAAATTTGTTATTGGAATTCACATAACAAGCATTGCATTGAAAATGACAATAAAAAAATACAGTGATAATGCTTTTGACTGAAAATTTTCTATTTTGAATTCCTTAACCAATGACTGAAGTTAGCAGTTGCTAAATGTTTATCTCCAAACATACATATCGGAAGGATTAGCATTGAGCAATCCATTAATGAAGGGAATCGGAGAGACGTGAATGAAAGGAAGGAGGAAATAAACAAACCTTACAAGAAGAGCATAAATCATGGGAGAGGGAAGCGATGTGGGACAATGGAAGGGAAGCGTTAATGCAAGAAACTCTTCTGAAGCCCGTTCTTTTCCCCGAAACACGCTCCTTGAGTGCTTCGAACTCGCGCTCAGCCAAGTACCTCATATGATCCTAAGACAACTTAACAAACACGAAATACGGCATGCATCGTGTTACATTACCTCATCACAATTCAATTCAATCAAGAAGAAGCAAGAATCTAAATTTGAGCATTAAAGAAAAAAAGGAGAAGATTAGAATGAGAGACTGACTCGGACTCCGAAGGCGTCAGGGCGGAATTGATGGAAGGAACGGACGCGGAGACAGGCAGCGGCCCATAGCTCATCCTCGTAGAAAGATTCAGCGATGGATAAGAGAGTGGTGTCGAGATTTTGGGTGAAAATGTTGGTGGAAGCAGAGGAATGGATTTGGGTCCTGAAATTGACGGAGAAAGCACTTGTATTAGACGTCAACGGAAACCATGAGCGCGGAATTACTGGAGGACAGGAACAGAGAAAAGATAGAAGCGTCATTTTCTGTATTATCCTCTCTTCTTTCTCTCTTAAGTTCTTCCTTTACTTTCTTTTTTCTTTCTCACTGCAGCACAGACACCCATTGTAAATAAATTAAATCTTCCATTTCCAATCTTAATTAATATTTCTTCCATTTTGGGTCTCAACAACATTATCTCTATCAATAAATAGTAATGACAAAAAAAAAATTCATATTTCTATATAAAATTTGTGATGGGTATTAAATAAATATTTTAATACATACAATAAATATTAACATTTAATTATCATTTGTTAGTAGATGAGTAGGGGAATCCGATTCACATATATCCATTTTTCATTAATAATTATTAATAAATTTTATCTAAATAATTCTTTTAAAAAATTTCAGTAATCAAAATAAAATTATTAATAAAAAATTATATTAATCATGGAAAAATATTTTACAATTTTACTTTAAGTATTTTTGCTTTTTTATTTAGTATTATGATTGAAGTTATTTTATAAAAGATTAATTTTTCAGATTTATATTTTCACACAACTCATCCAAATTTAATTTCAAGTAAGACCAAATTTATTTGTATTAATATTTTTTTAAGTAATTTGATTTAAATTATCCCTAAAAAGTAATTATTTAAAATCATTTTATTTAAAAATTAGAATATATATATATATATATATATATATATATATATA